AATCTGACTGAACCACACCGATCCGATTTAAGTTGGATTGGTTTGGTTATCATATAATAGTGGATTTGATTGATTTAAAAATTTTACTAACCAATTAAACTGGATTAGTTTAAAAAACATTAAAATCCGAACTAAACCACAGCGCGAACACCCCTACTTACAGTAGTTTCATATTTAAAAAAAAATGTAAAACATTAATAAAGAGTTAAAAACTAAGTTTTTATTATATTTTAGTAGTAATAAGTATTGATTTTTCTTACATTTTGACGAGGGCAATAGATGAAAATTGGGTATGCAGATCCTATAAAAATAATATTCTTATAGTAAATAAGCCTTGCAAATCTTTCGCCTCCTTATAGTAGAACAACTGAAAATTGTAATACCAAAACAAAAACTTGTTCTACGGGAACATATTTTAATTATAGTAAAAATTTGCTAATCGCCTAGGTTTAAAAATCTGCATTTGGCATATTAGGATTGTCGATCCCTCATACACTCAAAACCTAAACCAAGTATGCGTTTTTGAATTAAAAATAAATCATCAATCCGATGAGATTAGCAGCACATATACTGGAAACAGGAAATTATGAGGGGGCACTGAGGGTCGTGCTGTATTCTTCCAGAACTTTGAATCTTCCTGTTGGAGGTATGTTGCATAGAAAGACACTCTTTAATTTGCTGCTACCTTTCTGTTATAATGATAATATAGGTTGCCTATATTGATTGAATTGAAGTCCTCCGATAATGTGCATTGTCTAAGGATCTATTTTCCAGTAAAAATATTTTTTTCATACCTTGATATCATTATTGTTTGGGGGCCTAAGTTGGATAGTCATTAATTAAGACATTAGCTTCCTTGTTATTTTCTGTTATTTAGAAGCCCGATCCAGATCCTTGCTGAGTTTTTGCTCTGTTATTTGGCATTTTTGGTACCTCGGAATTTAGAAAATTGAAATAGAATCAAGTTGTCCAGAACTGGTAGAATCCTAATATGCATGCATGATTCTAACTGTTTGCTAATCTTACCATACCAAGTTGCTATAGTGTGTCAGTTGATAGAATTTGATTTTCATGGAAATTTTGAGGGCATGCAAGTTGGATATTTTTCTGAATTCTATGGTTAAGTTTATCGCATGATGATCGACTTCAAGAATCACGTTGGGTTCCGGTGATTGGGCTAATAAAATAACTAGAAAATTTTGGGTTTGTATACTTGCTTGGACAAATTTTTTCTTATCTCGTTCAAAGTATAATACACATAACATATGAAATGAACTTAATAAATAATTATATTAACTTTACCAAAACTCATTACATGCTAAAACAAAAGAAATAGAAAAAATAAGTCTAATATTAGTTTTTAATGTTTATTTTACAAGTGTTTCCAATATTACAAGAGAAACATGTGAACTAGATTTAATGTTTTTGTTTTTTGGATGGGGTGAAATAATTGAGAGAGAGAAAAAGGAGTAAAACGATACATTGTTCATTGAGAGAGATAATTGGTTTAATCACTTAACAAAATCAATAATATGCATTATAAAGAGTAGAAATATTTAATCACACCAAAAAGTCTGTTGTATCGTTGAGATATAACATTAATGATATTTTAAATTAATTAAAAAATAACACATTAATTCTCTTTTTGTTGTCCTCTCTATTAAGTAATTAATAAGATATAAAAAAGCTAATGTGATATTTTTTAATTGATTCAAGATACCATTGACACTGTATCTAATGATATAGCAGACTTTCTCCAAACACACAAGGAGAAACTTAATGTACGATCCTTTAAGTAATAATGGAACATAAGCCACCAATGGGAGAAGAATAATTGAAAGCGGACTAGCGACAAAAAGGGACTATGGATTCTGCATTTTTGGGAAAGCTGAACAAGATTTTTTTTTTTTTTTTCTTTTTGATAGACGATTAATTTTTGCCGATATTTTTTGCGAGGATAATCATAAAAGGTAACTAAAATTGTTTTGTGGGTCATCTTCTAATAAATTAGTATTGGATTAGATTTGGACTATTAACTTATTTACTTACTTTTTGTAAGACTAAAAACAGGACTTTGATTTTTTTTTTCCAAGGTAATTGCTGTTTTATTATATTTTCATAAATAAAAATTATATTATATACTATTTTTTTTTTTGGATTAGGGGGGCCATGGCCTCTCTTACCTCTTAAATCCTCCATCTATGCATCTAAGATTGTAAAAAAAAGTTATATAAAAAAAATTGTTTTTCATCATTTTCTTTATATAAATTTATAATAAAACCCATTTATTATGTCATTACTTAAAAATTTAAAAGTATTATGCTATGTTGTGCCAACTGGAAAAAGATGTCACACAATTAAAGAGTTCACGGAAAATTACATCAAGTATTAATAATCCTTTTGGGTAAAAACCCTTCTTAAGCCCCCAAATGTACCTTAAAATAGCATTTAAGTCCCTAAACTAAAAATTAAATAGATAGGCCCTCTAACTCCCCTAATGATGCAAATAAGCTTTTCTCACAAACAAGCCAAATGGCATTTCATGTTTAATATTATCTTGAAAGCATGGACACCTATGAATGAGAAGGGTTTATTTGCATCATCAATGGAATTAGAGGGCTTATCTGCTTCATTTTTAATTTAGGGGCTTAGATGCTATTTTGGGGTAAATTTAGGGGCTTAAGAAGGGTTTTTGCCAAATCAAAATTCTCTCTCTTTCATTTCAATTTCACCTGGAACTTTCATGATTGAACAATTTGGTCCGTTGGCTTTTAAATGATTTCAAATTAGCCCTTTTAGAATTTTAATTTATCAAAGCAATCACTTAACTTTTAATTTAGTGCGATTGTGTACGCATGTCTCAATTTTGTCCAATCTAGTCCAAAGGTTTTCAAATGTTATAACTTGTTCGTTTTATTTTTCAAATTAAATTAAAATGCCAATTTTAAAGTATGCAACTATTTTATATGGAGGATTGTAAGGTCTGTATAAGCCCTTTACTCCTAACCGTACCCCCAAATCTTGATTTTTGTGCAAACCTATTTTAGGTAACTTGTCCCATCTTATAATTTGGACAAGTGGTGACTCCTTCTTTTTACATTTTTCACACTTAATTTTTCATCATTTTTCTTCAATTTGAAATTTTAAGTGGTCATCAACAGATTGGCAAGTCCACTGGGGATCGAACCTAGAATCTTTGGTTTCTGTATTCTGGATTCATAAGGGTCAAACAAATGCTTTAACTTTGGCGATTTTTTAGCCTTTAATTTTTCTTTGCTTGTTGCTCGTTGCTTTGGTGGTTGCTTTTACCTTTTTTGCTTTTGAATGATTATCTTGCTATATCTTGACATGCATCATTCCTTGCTCACATGTTCATGCATTCATATCCTCTCACATGCTTATGCATCATGATATTACATGCTTGTTTATCATCCATCATGCTTACATGCTTATTTGCTTGTATGTGGATGCACTCACCCTTTACACTTGGCTATGGAGTACTTGGTGAGTCCCTTCCCTCATGTGATTATTTGTACCTTGTTGCATGTTGGGTATTAGTTGCTTTGTGCCAGTAACCTTTTGCATTTTGTATGGGAGTACTAGGTGAGCCCCTTCTTGCTGTGTATGTAGGTTTGTTTATGGATGCTATACTTATTGGGTGCTTTACATGCTCTACCTAGTTATTGGCTTTATCTACTTATTGTGGGATACATGTTGCTATTTTTGTGGTTGCTTTTGTGCAAGTTATTGGAGTGGCATGCCCCTTGCACAAACTCACTCTCATTTTTGCATTAGGTTCGTGTTTGAGGTGAACGTGACCTTTAGTCTAAAGTCCTTACAAATCTTGCATGAAAGAAATTCTTCTTATATTAAGGAGTAAGGTTAATTCCCATTAGGTTGTTTCCATTTGTTAATATAGCAACCAACGATGTAGTATCATTTTGTATATTAGCTTATGGAAATATCTCTCATGGATTTTGAAAGGAGAAATGGTTGAGAAGGCATGACGCCTTTTAGGAAAGCATGTAGTGAACTTGAAGAGATACTAGCCATAGGACATGCTGCCCTTAGCATCCCACCTCTGAGGTTAGGTATCCTATGTCTAAAACTAGTGTTTTGAAAACTAACCCGGATGTCAAATTGTTTTGACCTCTGGTTATCGATTTGACTGGTTTAATTGGTTAAATTATTTAAACCGTCAGTTCAATTGAATATGAATAAATATAATATTATGTTAGAGTTTAATATAGTACATGCAGTGGTTATACTAGTCTGTCATCTTACTTTTGATGGAGAAGACGTAGGTTTGAGTCTTGCTGAATGCTAAAAATGTAATTATAATGTTTTTAACCTTTAACTTATAATATATGTGATACCCCAAAAATTTCAAGAACATTAAAGTTGAGTTAGGGGCTTAATGGTGAGGAAACGTTATTAATGGACCTAATAGTCAAATTTTCAAATTCCAAAAGGTTTAAAAGATTATTAGATAAGGCCGGCTGACTTTCCTTCTTTTTCTTTTTCTTTTTCTTTTTCTTTTTTTCCTTTCTTCCCCAGCCATTTTCGCGTGTCTGCTCTGTTTCTTTTTCTCCTCTGCAGCCGGACATGAGCCCAGCCATCACCGACGCCTCCACCTGAAAAATTGGTAAGAGAACTTGATGATTTTGCTTTTTTCTTGTTCAAGAACAAGTCTAGGACTTAGAATCTTCTCCCCTACAGAAAATTTTTCCAGATCTGCTGTCTTCTTCCTCCTCTGCCGCCGGCTGCTACTGGAGTGAACTCCGGTTTTCTTGGTAAAAATCAGCCATAAAACTCTTTTTTCAGCCTTGATGTATGTGGGTTCACCCTGATTTTCATTTCTCTCAATTGCTAGTGGTTCTCGTGGAAGCCCCCCAATTTTCCGCCAGCCTTCCCACCGCCAGCTCGAATTTCTTTGCTTGCTGAATTTTCTGGTATGTGGCAACTCCTTTAAGTCCAAATTTTATTTAATTGGTGGTTGCCTTGCTGAATTTGGTCCTTGTGTGGCTGCCCTGTGTTGTCCGAATGCTGCCAAGGGACAAATGGAAGATTTCGGCAGCTCTAAAATTTTGTTTAGTTAATTCATGTGGAATCGGCTTATTTTGGTTGCTGTGATGTTAATTGTAGGAAAACCCTATGAAAATCCCGTGACTTGCCTATTTTTTTGTCAAGCCGGTTCTCCCCTTTCCTATCCATGAATTTGGAAAAATTATATATGTATTTATTTGTGTGTATATATATATAAATACCCAATCCCGGTGAATGCTCAAATTTCGGATAGAAAAATAAAATAAAAATAAATAAAGAAATAAAATTTCTTTATAATTATTAATTCGGGGATTTTGTGATTAGGTCTTTGATCCTCCTGTGACCTTAGCACTTGGGTTAAGCCCTCTGTCCTGTGCAATTAAGGTAAGTAAATTATGATAATGCTCTTAAATTTTAAAGCATATTTTAACTTGTTTTTTGAGATGGTGGCAAGGTTTAAATGGATTTATTTGCATTTGAGCATGATTAAAATGGGAATTGAACTTTTATCATTTTCCTTATTTTCTAGAATTGAGCATGCCCACATGAGATTCTTTCGGTTTATTCTTGAAAGTCAGAACGATTGTGAATCGTGGTTTTTTTTGTAAATTTTGCTTGATTTTTTCTCCGATATGGTTGTGTTATTCGTGTGCCCGTTAGTGGGAAGTTTATAAACGCTAGCACATGTCGACATGTTAGTGATAGAACCAGTTCGTTCGTGTTATCCTACTAGTGGAATTATACACTAGTAATCGTGTGTCTGCCAGTGAGAGGTTTATAACACTGGTTATGACTAATAGAGGAGACCACTATTTAATTTTATTCTGCATTAATGGTTTGTTATTGAGACGCTCTGTTTATGTTTAAACTGTTTATTTGGCATTCTTTAAATTTTGATCCCGAGCATCCATATTTACTTACTGAGATATTTTATCTCATAGTTTTCCTTGTCCACTATTTCAGGTAGTGAGACCCGACGCATGGGGAGCCCGGAGGAGTGGCAAGCTAGACGGCTAAGCATTTTTTGGACTTAGGTTTTTGTAGCTAGGCCGTTAGTCACCCATGCTGATTTAGAAATTTTTGTATACATAACTCCTTTAGTATAGTAATGACTGTATAGAGGAAGTTATTAATCTTTGTACATTTTGACGAGTAAATAATTAGAAAGAAAAAGAAAATAGATACTACTTGAGTTTCTAAATCTGAATTATTTGAATTCAGTAAGTTTGAGCCTTGTGCATTTGTGGGACTCATTCTTGAATGCACGATGTTTGTTTTGCTCTTGGTTTTGGGGCGTGACAATATATTAGTGGGCTTTCTTTACATATAGGTACATTAAATATACTTTTTAAGTTATTTTTATAAAAATGTTAAAAATTGACTTTAAATTAATTAATTAA